GATGGCCACGCCCACATTTCCTACGGTGCAGAGGGGCGTCCGCCTGAGGAGGAGGTGAGATAAGTGGGCGGAATTATTATCATTATTATTATTATTATCATTAATATTATTATTATTGTTGTTGTTGTTGTTATCATCATCATTATGATTCATTGGATTATTATTATTATTATTATATTATTATTATTATTATTTCATCATTACTATTATTATTATTATTATTATTATTATTATTATTATTATTATTATTATCATTATATGTCATTAATATTATTATTATACATCATCATCATCATCATCATCACATGTCATTATCATCATTAATAAATTATAATATTATCAATATTATTATTATTATTATTATTATTATCATTATGATTATTACTACTATTACTACTATTATATTAATATTATATTATTTATGATTTTTTTCTAGGGTCAATGATTCAAGCAATCTAAGAACTATCAATTATTTTTGATGTAGTCATTGATGAGTTTGATTCGACACACCATGAACAAAATGGAAAGCATACAATCGGGTATAAAATAAATAAGAACAAAACAGAACAGAGACACGAGAGTTCAAAGCGGGTGTTAGAATTAACTTTGTATATCTTATCAATGAGGGATTTAATAATCGAATTTGACCTTGGGAGATGTTCATTGGTTTGAAATTAGAGATATTTCAAACAAACAAGGTTGTGCGATGAAAAACACAATACCGTGTTGAAGATATGGAAGAAAAACCCACAATGCACAAACTAGATTTATTGATGAAAGTGAGACAGGTTTTGTGTAGCTATGTGATGTCTAAGTACGTGTTGCAACAGGAACAACGAAGGGAAGAACAAGAAAACACACGAATATGCATATCTGAACAAGAAAATACACTAATTTTTGTGTGTTTTCTTGTTCTTCCCTTCGTTGTTCCTGTTGCTATTATCTCGATATGAATTCCACACATATGTACATGTAACTGGACCACTCGTTTACACAGGACATGCATGAGGATCTGTATCTGTACAGGTTTACAAATACAGATATTACTGTAACTGTACGGGTTTACGTCGTGGGGCAAGAAAACTCATACTCTGTCTTTCTCTGTCTCTCTCTCTTTCTCTCTCTCTCTTTTCTTTCTCTCTTTCTTCTCTCTCTTTCGTCTCTCTTCTCTCTCTCTCTCTGTCTTTCTCTCTCTTCTCTGTCTCTCTCTCTCTCCTCTGTCTCTTCTCTCTTCTCTCTCTGTCTGTCTGTCTTCTCTTTCTCTCTCTTCTTCGTCTCTCTCGTCTCCTCTCTCTCTCTCTTCTCTTCTCTCTCTCTCTTCCTCTTCTCTCTGCTTTCTCTCTTTCTCTCTTTCTCTCCTCTTCTCTCTTTCCTCTTCTCCTTCTCTCTCTCTCTCTCTCTCTTCTCTCTCTCTTCTCTCTCTCTCTCTCTCTCTCTTCTCTCGTCTTCTCTCTCTCTCGGTCTGTCTTCTTTCTCTCTTTCTTTCTCATCTCTTCCTCTTGTCTTTCTCTCTCTCTCTCTTTCCTTCTCTCTCTCCTCTCTCTCTCTCCTTCCTCTCTTTCTTCTTTCTCCTTCTTCTTCCTCTCTCTCTCTCATCTCCTTCTCTCTTCTCTCTTCTCTCTCTCTCTCCCTCTCTCTCTTCTCTCCTCTCTCTCTTCTTCTCCTTTCTTTTTCTCTCTCTCTCCTCTCTCTCTCTCTCTCTTCGTTTTTATGTCTGTCTTGGGGGGCTTCTCCTCTCCCTTCCTCTCTCTTCTCACCTCTCTCTCTCTCTCTCATCTCTCTGTCTGTTACATTCTCTCTCTCTCTCTCTCTCTCTCTCTCTCTCTCTTCTCTATCCTGTCATCTCTCTCTCTCTCTTCTCTCCTCTTCTTCTCTACTCTCTCTCTCTCTCCTCTCTCTCCCTCCTCTCTCTTCCTCTCCCTCCCCTCTCCCCTCTCCCTCCCCTCTCCCTACCTCTCCTCTCTCTTCTCTCAAACCTCTTTCTCATTGCTGATGAAGAACGGCAGAGTTCGGCACGATGACCGAGTGAGCAGCAGGGGTCAGCAGGGAGGTCGCGAGGGGGGGGGTAGGGGGGGAGTTGAGGCCAGACACACGACCCAACCCCACCTCGACGTCGCCTCTGTGCAGGCTCATGACGACCTGCTACTCGGAGTGCCAGAGGGAGTGCCAGACACACCTGTGGGAGACCTGGCATTAGTGTCGTGTCTAGACCGATTGTGAGGGTGGTCTTCCGGTGGTCAAAGACTCATCGTTATCTGTTTTTTTTTTATTAGCGTTACTGGGCACCATCCAGCCCATGCTTCCTTGTTAGTCTGTAGTATTGGTTTATCCTATAAACGAATACGCATGTGTGTCTGTATTAGAAGAGCACACAGCCAGGCACCACAAACAGACACATACACACAACAGAACAACAGACACACACACACACACACACACAGCACACACACACACATGTACACATATGATAATTATATATATATATTATATATATATATAT